CACTGAGAATTTTCTGCTGTTCCAATTCTGACCCCTTCTCTCTCTTTCTCTTCTTAGTTGCTTCAACATTTTGAGATCAAAACATCTTCTCAGACTAAAGCCGTTCACGCAAAAACCCACGGGCTCCTGACGCCAGGGGGGCCCATCCATGTACGATTCGTTAACCGAAAGTAAGCCTGGATTTTAAACCTGGGCTGACGTAGCAGACCAGCTCGCCGACACACAGTGGCTATCTGTGTGTCGCTGATCACCGTGGAGAAGGAAAGCGAAGTCCCTGGAGGCCGTCTTGTTATAGACTGGCTTCCCAGGTCCTGGGACAGTTGTAAATCTTTATGCAAAGTAATGTAAAAAGGTTGCTATTTTACTGGTGCAGGCCAGAAGTTGCCCTTTCTCTGGGGGAAACAGCTGTTTAAAAACCAGTGGCACTGAATTTTTATGCTTCATACATTGTGCTAGACTCAATATTTAATGACTGGCAGTATCCTATGCATTTACTTGTATAGGGAAATGGTGGTTTACTTACATATTCAGTTCTTCAATATATGTTCTCTAATACTGGCATCTGGGCCTGAATTGCCATCAACAGTAAGTTGAAGGCAATTTCAACTTACTGTTTCTGATTTGAAGAGGGAACATTAAGAACGCCTCTGTAATACCGTAATTTTGGGAAGAAAGCACCAGAGGCAACATTTTATCCTGAGCACCAGATTTAGATCCTGTTAAAGGGCTCAAACTTAAAAGGGCTGGCTGGGTGCGGTGGCTCATGCCTGTAATCCCAGCACGTTGGGAGGTCAAGGTGGGAGGATTGTGTGAGCCAGAAGTTCGAGACCAGCCTGGGCAACATGGTGAAACCCTGTCTCTACCAAAAACACAAAAATTAGCCAGGCGTGGTGGGGCACATCTATGGTCCTAGTTACTTGGGAGACTGAGGCAGGAGGATCGTTTGAGCTCAGGCGGTTGAGTCTGCAGTGAGCTATCTATGATGGCACCACTGCACTTCAGCCCGGGCAACAGAGTGAGACCCTCTCTCAAAAATAAAATAATAAAATAAAATGACTGTATTCTTACTTTTCTCTCCGCGAGTGCTTAATTTTCCAGTCATAATGCCTGATGAAGTTGACTATTAGTTTTTATTTGGAAGAAATAAAAAAGAAAGCTCCTGGTGAAATCAAGAATAATCAGATTTTCTAACCAAATCGAAATACGGAGTAGAGCAGACGTATAAGAACTGGAAA